TCAACGGCGAGATTTACAACCACCGAATCCTCCGCAAGTCCCTCAAGAACCCATATAACTTCAAGACACACTCAGATTGCGAGGTTATCATTCCTCTGGTAATATTGGGCACACTTCTTCTATAGGATAGAGGCTGACGCATGGCAGTATCTCGAACATGACATCGATGCTCCCCGGAAACTCGACGGCATGTTCTCTTGGGTCCTTCACGACAAGGCTCAAGATCGTGTCATCGCAGCACGCGACCCGATCGGTATCACCACCTTCTACATGGGCCGATCCAGCACAGCACCAGGCGCGGTATTCTTCGCCTCTGAGCTGAAGTGCTTACATCCCGTCTGCGACAACATCATCTCCTTCCCCCCCGGGCACGTCTACGACTCGAAGACGGATTCGCTCACGCGATACTACGACCCCAAGTGGCTGGTCGAGCCCGAGAACATCCCTACACAACCCGTAAACTACAAGGAATTGAGGGCATCGTTTGAGCGATCAGTGCGGAAACGCATGATGGCGGAGGTTCCTTTTGGTGTACTTCTCTCTGGTGGTCTTGACTCGAGTCTGGTCGCTTCAATTGCGCAGCGGGAAACTTTGCGCTTGAACGAGCTCACAAGGAAGAAGGCTGCAGCGTCTTCGGGCAACGCCAGCGAGCAGCAGAACCAACTTGTTGGTATCGACGACTCCAACGAGCTTCAGACAGATCTCCTTCTGGGACAGCTCAACTCCTTCTCAATTGGTCTGCCCAACGCACCCGATGCCATCGCTGCGCAGGAGGTAGCCAACTTCCTCGGAACCAAGCACCACACCTTTACCTTCACCATTGAGGACGGCCTCAACGCACTCACAGATGTCATCTTCCACCTCGAGACCTTCGACGTAACGACCATCCGCGCCTCAACACCCATGTTCTTGTTGAGCAGAAAGATCAAGGCTATGGGAGTCAAGATGGTGCTTTCAGGAGAAGGAAGTGACGAGATCTTCGGCGGATACCTCTACTTCCACAACGCGCCTGACAAGGCCGCTTTCCACCAAGAATGCATTCGCCGTGTTAAGAACCTCCACCTTGCCGACTGCCTCCGCGCCAACAAGTCAACATCCGCATGGGGTGTCGAGGCACGTGTGCCTTTCCTAGACAAGGACTTCCTCAACACCGCCATGAACATCGATCCTGCCGACAAGCTCATCGACCGTGAAGCCGGCCGCATCGAGAAGTACATTCTGCGCAAGGCTTTCGATACCACCGACGAGCCAGAGACCCAACCCTACCTTCCCGAGAAGATTCTCTGGAGACAGAAGGAGCAATTCTCTGACGGTGTAGGCTACGGATGGATTGACGCGCTCAAGGACACCGCTGAGCTACACGTTACCGATGAGATGATGAAGAACCCAAAACCGGAGTGGGGTAATGACATCCCGGATACCAAGGAGGCGTACTGGTACAGGTGTATGTTCGACGAGCACTTCCCCAGCTACTGCGCCGACACCGTCATGCGATGGACGCCTACTTGGAGCAACCAGACGGATCCTTCTGGACGGTAAGTCTTCCCTTTTGAGTTATCATTCAGACAAAAAGCTAATTCTGTATAGTGCCATCGGCGTTCACGAGCAGAAGTACGCTCATGCTAAGTAGACTGTTCTTTCGGTATGAGTGGGCAAGGCTGGTACGGTAGAAACTACGGATCTCATTCTCAGGTCTCTTATGGCGCTTATAGACTGCTTAAGGGGAGATATACCCCACGGGAAATCTGTCAAAGGGTTCGGTCTTTAGCACACTAATGCACCATGTTGCGTGAAATTGATGATCTCAGAGCACGATGCATATGTTGACGTTAAGAAGAAGTAGCTATGTCTCACGGTGTAGAACAAGTAGACGCCAAACAGGTGGGTTATCAATACTTCTGTCATGCATGCAACTCTTTCTATCGAGCCATGGGTTTCAATAGAGGCTGCGCCAGCATTACTTCGGCCATCTCAAGGTATTGAGTGAGTCCTGCGACATCCTTATTCGGGTCTATTCGAAGAGTTTCCTTGGACATCTCATCGTAAAGATCCCGCGCGCGCTGCGCATGTTCAACGTAACCTTGAATCAAGTTAGAACAAAGTGTAATCAAGGTAAAGGTGTGTACATACAATCGTCTGAGTTGCCAAGGAGAAGATGGAAGCCATCTTGGTGCCATTTGCCAACGGCTGGGTCAGCAAGAAGATCCCTACAATGATGTAGGCCTCGTCGCGAGAGCTAGACTTCCAGATGTTGACTGCCCGCAAATACTCGTTCCTGTACATTTGGCCGATAGGGCTGAGGGAACGATTGGACTCAGATGGGGACATGGCGCTTGCGATTTGGCTGCGTAGATAATTTCTGCGATTCTTTGAGTCGTATCGTACTGCGCTTCTTACGCAAATGAGTTGTAGGCTGATCATAAGTGAACGACGTGTATCTCCAGGTGCTTCACAGATACAAGTCGCTTTCGAGGACCACGAACAGGGTGGGTGCGCACTAGGGCAGCTTGATGTCAAGTTTCAAGATTGATATGCCAAATCTATTCTCATAATACAACATTACCTCGCCGCCGGCGCCCAAACATAGGTTCATCTTTTTTTCGACTGGGTATCGTAGACCAGTGATACAAATACATACACACAAACTTTTGGAGCAGATCATACCGTCGCTCTGCGGTAGATATCAAAACGCCAGACGTATCCAATACAGATCATTTTTATAAACACAGCTGAGCGCATCACGCCTCGAGGGCTGAAGATGCCTCGCCGTTGCCGAACACGCGGAATTGGATAAAGATGGTTATGTCCTCGACCATTGTGCCGAGGGAGCCGATGAGCCAGGGGAGGTTCGTGAGTATGTACTCTTTCTCCTGCGAGTGGAAGATAATCTGGCAGATGTTAGTCGCCGTGACTTCCAGCAAAGTGTGGATGTGACTTACCCCTGCACCATACGTAGCATTGCCCAAAAGACTCAACATGAAGAACAGCAGCGACAAGCCCTCGCAGGACTTCTCCCTCTGGTTCTTAATGATCTGAGGAATGCGCGCTCCAAGATAAGCCACGGCGCTCGCGTATCCCAAGATCATGGCACCAACAGGGTTGTCCGTGGTGTCCTCCGTATTATGCTGAGGCTGCGGAACCCACACACCAGTCTTCCACGCGATAGCCCAGCCTGCAGCACCAACGACACAGACACCCACGATGCTAAGCGCATTCTTAACCCACTCGCTCGCGCCATCGCCCACATCCGGAATCGTAGGTAGCGAACTCGCGCGCCGCCTGCGACTAGCTGCAGAATCGCGCCTGTGGCTTCCCGGCAGACCGACGTTGCTGCTATCGCGTCTGCCCAGCAGGGGCGCCTCAACGCTGTTTGTAGACTGCACGGAGGTTTTGCGCTCCCCGCGGCGCGAGTTCTTCATGTTGTAGTAGACGCATTGCGAGATGAGGACGAGGTCTGCGAAGCAGAAGTAGATTGCGAGGGCGATGACGGTGGGGACGAGGCCTGCCCAGAGGGCGCCGGCAAGGTTGGTTATGTCGCCGACGAACCAGACGACGAGGAAGGCGAGGGAGATGCCATCAGCGGAGGATGACTTGTAGTTTTCGATTAGTTGCGGGACCTGCGCGGTGTGTTAGGATGCGATTTGGTGATGTATGCCCAGGTGATGTCGCGTGCTGCAGCTCCAGTCGCGGTTCTATGAATAGCGCAGGTGGTATCAGAGATACATGAACATTGCAGGACGACGTGTCAAGGTCCCTGTACGTCCGCGAAAGCATAGGAAATGAAGAACAACAGCGTCGTCGTATCAAGTTGTTTACTCACCAACAGAAAGATCCACGAAGCCAGCGAGATTGAGCCGAAGACACCGGAAAGCGCCTCGTGAGTTGTCAGCGACACGCTGTGCGACATGACAGCTGCGAGCATGGTTGCGTTGCGTGATGAACAACGGGGGTTGGACGGGTAAGGGTGTAGCCCACACAGCGCGTGCGGCTACAGGTAATAATGATTTCTTGCTTCTGTTACTCCGTACAAGGGCATGCAAAGAAATCGCAGGGCTTGATGACGCACGTCCAAGACGGAGAGATTGCCGTAACTAGCCTGTCCAGCCGAGGGAGCCGCGAAATGGGGCCGCTGCAGAAACGGATTTAGAAGCAGCAAAAGTTGTAAAGATTGGCGGGTTGGACGAATGGGAAGGGAGGTTTTGCTAAGGTACGATGCGCGTCGAGCAATGCAGCGGGATGTCGGACTAAAAAAGCAGAGGTGGGCTAGTAGAGCAGTAAAAGACTACTAGTCTCTCGGGTCATCTGTGTGCAAATCTCCCTGGTGTTTCTGTTGAGGGACAGAATTTTTGTTCGAGCTGTCAAGCCTTTGGGGCGCATATGCAGGGCAGTGAAAGGTCCCGGGCGCTTTCTATAAAAAACGTCTGTACTTCAACAACTGATGCAGTGCGTTTGGGGGCGCGTTGAAGTACTGTGATACTGTATACGATGGCCAGATACGTAACGAGGGCAGAAAGCCTTCGTTACCTGCGTACCTAGGTACGAATGCTCACTGTGCAACGTCAATCCATGGTTGGTTATGCAAAACCTTCGAAGCAAGGTTGACTCAACGACTGTGACTGACCACCGTTTTGTATGGCCAGTGCTGGTAAGATGCCGCCCCTGTGAAGGGTCTGGACCGGGGTGAGGGTTTAAAATAACGTCTCACGTGACCACACGTCGCAAGGAAGAGAGTGAGGCCGACCCTAAACCCTTTCCAAGGTTCCAAGGTTCTCCTCTCGATCACCTGAACTCGGTACCTTCACTGGCTTCCGGCTAACATTCGCTACACTATTCTCTTGTCTCTACCCGTTCACTCGTTTGATCCATCCACATAGCTCATAGGCGACGAGATTCACCTGTATCGCCCTTAATATAACCTTGGCTGTTCGTGAAACGCGCGTCAGTCAGCTCCATCGTAAAAACGCTGCCAGCCCTCCTGCTACCAACAACAACCGCCCACCATGTTGCCCAAGGCCTGGCTCTCCGTTTTTGTCTTGACTGTCGCATCGTCGGCCTTTACCCTCGAGGATCTACACATGGACGGCATCAACCAGTACCTCCACCAGGGCAAGAGGCAAGACGCCGAAGGCACTGGCGGCTCATCACCATCCGCCACGCCCGCGCCATCCTCAGCAGCACCACCAGCGTCTTCCGCCGCACCGCCTGCCACATCGTCGGCCGCACCTCCAGCAACATCCGCGACTCCCGAGCCAGAACCCTCAACCACCAACAACCCACCGCCGTCCAACGATCCCACATCCGACGCTCCCGCACCCTCGACTACCGCTGCCGCACCCACTTCCGACGGCGGCAACAACAACAACAATAATAATAACAACAACGACGCTTCAACAACCGCGGCAGGCACGAGTCGCACTGGTGGAGGTGGCGGCGCCGCTAACTCACCAACGGCCACCGAAGATGGCAGCTCTTCCGTAAGAACGACCGCGATTGTCAGGACTTCCGCTCTCTTCTCCACCTCGGTGTTCGAGTATACCACGACTCTCGACACAACCCTGAGCGATGGCAGAGTAACCAAAGCGACCTCGACAGGCACCAGCACTTCCGTCTCCTCCACCGGTGAAGCCGTCGTCACCGACCCGCCCACCGCACAAGCAGGTGACAGCGACAACGGCGGTGGCATCAGTGACTCCAACAAGAAGGTTATCGGAGGTGTAGTTGGTGGCGTTGGTGGAGCCCTACTCCTCGGTGGCATCGCCCTCGTCTTCTGGCGCATGAAGAAGCGCCAAGCACGTGTCCACGAAGACGACGACGACCTCATGGCCGGCACTGGCTCAGCCCTCGGTGACAAGCCCCAGAACGGCACTGGTTCATCGCCCTTCCAGTCGAACCTGGAGCAGTACCACAACCCAGGAGGACGCCCCAACGCAGCTGCCAACTTCTAGGCGAAGCGCAGCCCGACCAAAGTACATAGGCCTTCGAGGGTCCATTACGATACCAACGACTATCTGCGGAATTTGTCTGAGCTAGAAGCGATTTTGAGAGACGACAGCACGGCGGAGGATGTATATATGTGCAATCGCGGCTTTAATGCACGAATGGCCTCTCTGTGAGTTTGCATTCCAGGCGCTGATTCCGCAATGTTAGATTCGTGTATACCGTCACCATCGTGGTCAGTCAGTCCCGCAAGGACTGCGCACGATGTAGATTTAGACGTATACAATCACGTTGAAGAAGAGGCACCACAACAACCACTTTCGTCCGATCACTCCCATCATCCTGTCTGTGTACGTTGCACTTTGCATCGTTACACCTGTTTTACGTCAGTTGTAATAGAGCGTCATTGTCTTTCTTGTTTGTTTTAGCATAGTCATACCCCAATCCATAGCGCGAAATATCGAAATCAACATAGCCAAAAAGTGTTTACTGTCCGATTCCTTCTATTACATCACCATCTTCATGCTCTCCTTTTCTGCCTCACACTCAGACAACGCCCGTCCTTCTGCCCGCCTCGTCCTTCTTACGTGTGCAGCGTGCACATGTTTATGCGTTGCCAGGGGTCGAGTCAAGGATCGTGTTTCAGCACTGTCGCAAGCAACCAACGTGTCGACTTGCCCAAACAAGCTTTGTGACCGCTGGGCCCCAAACTCGTTTGGCGTGAGATAATGCATGTTCGGCGCTTCCACGCCATGTGGAGGCGTTTGGCGTTGGGGGCAGTAGGTTATACTTAGATGCGGTTGGCCCCGGGTGGGTGTTTGGAACGGGGATTTGCGTCTTTTGCTCTCTGGAGAGATTGCGATAGTTACATTCGTTTGGTGCGATTGAGTCGATTATTTTCAAAGGCTGTGCCTACATACGTTCGGAGGACATTGGCGATTGTGGAATTGAGGTTTTACGCTCGAGGTTGATTCACGCACGGCACTTTTCGTCTTTCACGCACGGCATATATTCAGCACCGGCAACGATTTACGCCCGTCAGATCTTACTACACCGGCATCTTTCAGGCACGGCAAAATCTTATCATACCGGCATCTTTCAGCAGCGGCAAGATTCACGCCCGGCAAACTTTCACGCACGGCATCGTCTTTCACGCACGGCAGGAGCTTTCACGCACGGCAGCAGCTTTCACGCACGGCAACAGCTTTCACGCACGGCAAATCTTTCCATACCGACACGTTCCACGCCCGGCAAAACCATTTCATACCGGCATCGATTCACGCCCGGCATCATTCACGCCTGGCATCATTCACGCCCGGCATCATTCACGCCCGGCATCATTCACGCCCGGCATCATTCACGCCCGGCACTTTCCAACACCGACAAACGTCTCTGTCGACAAGTCGTCCCTACACAGTCATGTTCCTTCCCACAGCACTCTTAGCTCTAATTCATCTCGCCCTCCCCGCCCTATCACATGCCTCTCCACAACCCGCCCTAGTCTCCTCGGATTGGGAGATGTCACTAGTGCCTCGCCACACACTCTTCCTACGGCAAGTATCCGATCTGCAGACCTTTGACGGCAACCTCGGCGGAACACGTGCATCACCCATTACAAACTCAGGCGACAAAGAGCGACCGTTCCAGGTCGATGGGGACACATTCACCAGTTTCGATTCTGCGGCGCAGAGGAGTTGCGATAATCAGTTTCAAGGGTGCAGCAACACTGCGAATAGTAATGGAGGAGGTGGAGGTAGGGGGAAGAAGGGGAAGAAGAGGCAGGATGGGGGTTTGAGTGTTAATGACTGTGATGAGCAGAAGAGTAAGTCATCCTTCTTCCCTTACTTTCTACAATTTGGGATGGATCGCTAACAGACTTGATAGACAAGTGCAACGATGCGCAGAAGAACGCACAGGTCAAGGACTTCAATAGTGCGGTTGCGAGTACGAACATTGGCCCTGATCCCGATTTTCCTGATTTCGATCTTATTTGTGAAGGGTAGTCGAGGGAGAGAAGTATATGGTGACTTCCAAGTTTGGTATGGACGTGAAGAGACGTCGAGAGGCCTTGGGATGGAGATTAACGCAGCGTCTATAGCATGCGTGCAAAGAACATGATAATGATACATTACTTAAGTACGTCTGAGATTTCATCTTTTGACATGAATCATCTATTTGAACTCGAGGGTTGTGATGTCAATGACCGCATCACGTGCGTGCTCCACGCTAAGTCGGGACGTGTCTACCTTGACTTTTCGTCAACTCTCAACCCCAAAAACTTTATCCGCCACCACGTCTTCGCACACCAAAGCTGAGGTTTGATAAGATGACTACAATCCATTGAGTTGCCACTGCTCTTCTTACATGGTCCCTTCAACGTGCCGCGATTCACAATGCCTCCGGCGCTTCTCTCCGCTCGGGCTAGGTCAATAGCACTTCTTTTCGTCGATCAATCTGCATCTTAGACTACTATAAACCCGACAAAACAGCGCCGATAGCTTCAATGGCACCCAAACCTCGCGCCGTGACAGCCAAGGCGTTGCAAACTCTACTTGTACACATCGGCGCACCATCCTCAGGAACAAAAGCAGTACTACAGGAACGGTTCCGACGTGATATCGGAATATCTCATCTTTCCAAGAGTCAACCGACATGGCCAAAATCTGGAGCTGCAAACAAGAAGCTCCGCATTATGAGCATCGACATGGGAATCAAGAACCTGGCGTTTTGCGAGGCGGAGGTATCTTACCCATTGAAAGATAGCCTAGATGCGGACATGAAGGTTTTGAGATGGGAGAAGATTAACCTTACGGAAGCCCCAGGGGACGAGATACAGAGCGAAAAGAAATCTCCACGAAAGGGCAAGACCACAAAGCAACGTACTGAGGGTGCTGACGAAGCATCGGACATGTATTCTGCGGATGCTTTGTCCAAGACAGCGTATGGCTTGATCAAGAACACGATTCTAGCCGGCTCGCCAGACATCATCTTGATCGAAAAGCAAAGGTGGAGATCTGGCGGTGGAAGCGCGGTGCAACAGTGGACTTTGCGGGTCAACACTCTAGAAGGCATGCTATGGGCTGTACTTCAAACCATATACGCACAACGACTGGAAAAGGGAGCGTCAGCATCGACTACAGCAAAGCTCTACGTAGTCTTCAGTGCAGATCCCAAACGCGTGGGTCAATATTGGCTCACCCGAGCTGCCGGACGCCTCGCAGAAGGCGACGAAGAAGTCGTCAAACTAAACGAGGGCGACGAAGCCGAAGTGGCCACTCCGAAAAAGACGCTCAGTCGATCCAAAGCAGAAAAGAAGGTCAAAATCGCTCTCCTCCGCTCTTGGCTCACCGCAACACCCGCGTCCACGGCGTCGGTAACACAAGACACGGTACCGGGCATAACCTTCAATTTCGCGCCAGATGCAGAGAGTACCCGTCAAGCGCTCCTATCGCAGTCAACATCCAAACGGCGTAAGAAAGCCAAGGAGGAAACAGACGACGTGCTTCCAGCTGCAGCAGTCGCAGGCTCTGCGCTCAAGAAGCTGGACGACGTCACAGATTGCTTCCTCCAGGCTGCTGCGTGGGTTAGTTGGGAGTCGAATCGTCTGCAGCTGCGGCAAGTGTGTGAGCGGAATAAGAGCGGTGATGGAATAGTGGCTGAACTGACGGATGAGGTTATGTTGGAGATGATTGAGAAGATCGAGGGGATTTGATGTGGACTTTCCCGCTCGTAGCTCTAGCCGTGGACGTATGATGAATGGGGTGAATACAACAGTATATCTAACGCGCGCGCGACCTTGGCTGCTGATGAGTCGTTAGCATGGGCACGCCTCGTTGAGGTAGCACAGCTTCGTGCGACCGCACATAGAGCAGTACCCTTTGAGATTTAAGCACAAAATCTCGACATAACTCATCCAAACAATAACATCAGTGTCTTCCTTATTCACTCCAATCCGGTGTTGCTCAGCCCACCACACCCGGTGTCAAACAAAGAAACGAACCATGTCTGCACACCCCCACTTCGCGCCCGTGACGTGGCACCCTCCAAACTTCACATGCAAACTTCAATCGGTCATTCCCTCATGCAGCACACATCCTCCGTCTTCATCATGTCAATCAAAATGTCCGCTATATATACGCACGGCTTTGGGAAAATGCCAGAAGTCTCTATTTCCGCTTGACGGTCTCGGTGGCGCAATGGTAGCGCGTTGGACTTCTACTAACTGTATCCATGGTTAATCCAAAGGCTGCGGGTTCGAGCCCCGCCCGAGATGCTTTTTGCTTCCCTTTTGCTGCTATATATTCACTCATCTGTGTTGTGCATGTTGAGATGACGTTGTGCGGATGATGTTTGCCAGGCAGCATTTTTTTGGGGCTTTGGTGGGGGAGGGCCGAACATCAAAATCACGCTGTCACTCTTTACATCGGTTTGGTTATAGGTAATTCATTGCGTATTCATTTGACTGGAAATAGTCTATTGCTAGGATACTTTATGCGCCGTGACACCAATAGCGCCGTAGATGCTCACTTTTGCCTACTTATACAAAATTGACTCAATCACTCAGCTCCGCACTCCGGGTAACCTCCTCCTTCATCTCCCTGCCTTTCGCAGCTAGAAGGTTGAGCGCACTGCCAGCCATCACAAATCCACATTGATCGTGCGAGAGTGTGTGTTTGGTCTTGACGACCTTCTCGCTACCGTCCTTCTTCTTGAGGACAAGTTCGACTTCACCCTTGCCGCCGCTCTTTAGCACGTCCAACAGTCCCCGTGTAGCAACCTGGTCGCAAGCTTCGAAGGCGTCGTAGTCGGCTTCGTTGGCGAAGGTGAGAGGGACGATACCTTGCTTCTTGAGGTTGGTCTCGTGAATGCGGGCGAATGACTTGGCTAGGATGATGCGGCCACCGAGGTATCGGGGTTGTAGGGCGGCGTGTTCACGGGCAGAACCCTCGCCGTAGTTGTGCTCTGCTACAACTAGCCACTCGATGCCCTGGTCGCGCCACCTCTTTGCTAGTTCTGGGATACCGGACGTCTTACCGTCGAAGTCGTAGGCAACGTTGACTTCATCGGTCTGTGCGTTGACTGCACCGATGAGTGTGTTCTCAGAGATGTTGGGGAGATGGCCCTTGTACTTGAGCCATGGACCGGCAGCCGAGATGGTGTCTGTTGTGCATTGTCCCTTGACCTTGTAGAGTACTCGCAGGCCTGTAAATTCCGAGCCAGGGAATGCTGGGAAAGGATCAAGGAGTGCCAGACGGGTGGATGTAGGCGAGACAATGACATCCACGCTGGCGTCGGGGACACCTGGCGTAGGCATGAAGTCTGGGTTACCGTCTGCGAAACCAGCGGTAGGGAGGTCAGAGCCCTTTGGCGGCGCGAACTTGAAAGGCTTGCCGTCGGGTGTCGGGATGCTGTCGGTCATTGGGTTGAAGGTCGTAGAGCCAGAGTATGACATGGCGGTGATGAGTTCGGGAGAAGCGAGGAAGTTCATGGTAGCTCGGTTACCATCGTTGCGGCCGGGGAAGTTGCGGTTGTAGGACGTGAGGATAGCGTTGGATTCACCCTTCTTTACGTCGTCGGTACGCTTCCATTGCCCAATGCAGGGACGTCGAGGTTGTCAGTACTTGGAATCAATCAGGATAATTTGAAAACTCACCCGCAAGCGTTTGCCAGTACAGTGCCACCAGCAGCAGTAAACGTTTGAAGGGTTTCATCCCGTTCTAACGTTGCTCGGATCTGTTCACTTCCTGGGGTAATGAAGAAGTCCGCCTTGGGCTTGAGACCCGCTGCTAGTGCCTGCTTCACAATCTCTTCTGACCGAGTCATGTCCTGGTATGAGCTGTTTGTGCAGCTACCAATTAGGCCCGCACCGAATGTTTGTGGCCATCCCTTCTCTTCAACTACAGACTTGAACTTGGATAGAGGTGTTGACAGGTCAGGGGTGAATGGTCCGTTGATGTGAGGCTCGAGTTCCGAAAGGTTGATCTCGATGACTTTATCATAGGCGGCATCCGGGTCAGGTCGTAGCAGGTTCTGCTGCATTGGTGAACCGGCGATCTTGGCAGCGGCTTCAGCGATCGGTCCGCGATGTGTGGCTTGGAGGTAGGGGATATGCGCAGGAGAGAAGGGGAAGAGCGAGGTAGTTGCGCCGACTTCAGCGCCCATGTTGCTATATCGTATTAGTACTTGTCCACGAGTTGAACTATGTAAGGGTCTCACCAGATAGTCGCCATGCCTGTGCAGCTTAGAGATTGCACACCAGGGCCAAAGTACTCAATGATGAAGCCAGTGCCACCCTGCACATGCGTTAGCCAGGAGTACTTCGCCATGTTCACAATGACATACCCGGACGGTCAGCTCGCCAGCCAATTTCAGGATCACATCCTTTGGCGATGCCCATCCGCTGAGTTCTCCGGTAAGCTTCACACCCAAGATCTTGGGTGCCTTCAACTCCCATGGCGCATCCACAAGAGCGTCGACCGCATCGGCACCACCAACACCAATTGTAATCGATCCCAGACCTCCAGCATTCGGTGAGTGACTGTCGGTGCCCAAGATCATGAGCCCAGGAGCACTGTAGTTTTCCAGGACAGACTGATGGATGATGCCAGCACCCGGTGGCCAGAACTCGATTCCGTACTTCTTCGCCGCCGACTCGAGGAAATCGAAAACCTCCTTGTTACCCGCTATCGATTGTGGAAGGTCGGTGTCGGCGCCTTTTTCTCCCTAGACGTTCAAATCAGCGAAATCCTCACAGTGGGACCAGGACGGCCTCCAGGGTACTACTGACTACTATCATGTGGTCGCCTTAAGGTTGTAGTCAGCACATGCCTTGATCGCAGTTCATCCATGACTGTCACTCACAGTGAATACTAGCAGGCACAGCCGTACTCGGCAACCCACAGCTCATAAACTGCAACAGCGCCATCTGTGCACTCGCATCCTGCATGGCCACGCGATCCGGCTTCAACTTGAGATTCGCCTGGCCCCGAATATCCCTTCCTCCATTGGTGTTGCTCAACAGCGACTCCTCGGGGCTCTCAAGATGCGAATACAGAATCTTCTCTGCCAAAGTCAATTGGCGAGAGGAACCGAGTACGCGCCGGACTTCTTCGAGCCGCGAGAGGAGTTTGGCATACGGTGGGGTGCGCGAGCCGAGGTCGACGTTGCGCGCGGAGGGCGGCGAGTGCGATGTGGCTAGGCATCTGAGCGGTTGGCGGAGGGAGGAGAGATGGGGCTGTAGAAAGGGTGTCAGCGTTTTTGTGTCACTCAGAGGTGTAGTAGAGAAGCGCGATGACGATGACTACTGCGGAAGTCGCATGAGGTTTGGAGAGATGTTGAACGGCCAATGGCAGGTGTAGACTCACCCTGCAGTTGGCTGCTTGACCAGCACGAAGTATTTGCGACCGCATCTTTTCGTAGGTTGTCCGTGGCGGCGACGCGGTGCGAGCACGTCAAAAATGGTGCCTTCAGAATATACCGAGCCGACTGCGGAGATGCACGCGAGTCATATGTACCGCGGAGAAGGAAACCCTCTGACCCAATCACAGCACGCGTCAAAGTAATCTGAGAGATGACGCGATGGGCGATGTACCATTCTTAAATTTAAGCTATAGCAATGGCACTGGTATCCTAACTAAAGTGACAACTCCAGATTGGCAGACAATTACCGTGCCCGAGACGATGCTCCGTACCTGTGTCTAAACGTGCCGAAGCGTAGAGAACCCCTCAAACCAATCCACCACACCCGCCGTCAGTCAATATGCAAAGGCAAATCGGACTAGTTTCGATCAATCAAGTTAAGTTGAAAGGCTGTCGTAAGCGCGAAATCATAGTCGTTGCTTCGGACTTACAAACCGGGAGGTGGAGGGACGGCGCCATAGTTGGAAGGCGATGCAGCCGGTGGAGGCGGCGGTGGAGCAGCGTAGCCGGATGGCTCTGAAGGCGGCGGCGGTGGTGGTGCAGCCGCGCCAGCACCGGGAGCAGGCGACTGTGTCTGGCCATAACCGTTCTGAGCATAGTACGCGGCATACTGCTGTTGCTGGAGTGCGAGATACGCCGCATACCCACCGTAGGCCGCATAAGGATCAGCCTCTGGATTCTGCTGGTAGTAGGCAATCCATGCTTGTGCCGCATTCGCATCGTAGGCTTGGTTGTTAGCATCAGCAGTCGGCGTTGCAGCAGCAGGAGACATGATTGTGTCCTGGCCGCCGTAACCGTTCTGACCCTGAGCGCCGTAGCCACCGTAGCCGCCGCCTCCTCCGTTTCCTCCACCGTATCCGTAGCTCTGGCTGCGATCACGGTCACCGCGATCTCCACGGTCGCCACGATCGCCGTATCCCGACCGTCCACCGCCATAGCCATCTCGGTCGCCGTAACGGTTCGGTGGAGGGCGTTCCTTGTAAGCGTGGTAATCCGACTTTACCTTGTCGAGGAGCTCGTCGCAGAGTTGCTTGGCTTGGGCTACACCTTCGGGACGGGGTCCACTACGATCTGTCAGTAATTGGAGGGTAGGAATGGCGGGGTATACGAACGCGATGTGGAGGTACATGGGCTCGTCGCTCTCTTGTCCGCTGTTTGGCTCCATGAAGCCGGAACCGCGGCCTTTGATCTGGACTTTGCAGCCTGTCTCCTGTTGAATGAACTTGACGTTGTCGCCACCGCGACCGACAACCTGTGCGCGCAAGTTAAAGCCGCTGATAGGCTCGAGACCTACGGAAATCTTCTCTTCGGGCCACTTGCGCTGGGAAGTATTAGCAACGTGTTGGATGACAGACAGGGCGACATACTCTGCCAAATTCGTCGCGCTCGAAGTTCTCTGGCTCTCTACGGCGGAAACGACGTTCGTCTACAAGGTTAGGAAGGTCCTCCTTCATCATCTCTTCGATCATCTCGACAGCCTTGTCCAGGCCTTCTTTGGAGGTGCTAGTGATGCGGAGGTACAGCGGCGGGTTCTGTTCCCGTTAGCTCTGTCGACAAGACTCTGCGTGTTCACCTACAGTAGCAGTTGCCATGTTCTTGTCTGGGTAGTATTCTCCGCGAGTAGTGACATCTTGCATGTATAAGCAGGTATTCTAAAGGTTAATAGTTGTAATCGGGGATGCGTACCGGCGCCAGTCTCGTCTTTGATCTAGATGGCACATGGAGGTTAGCATTTGATAAATGGGGTGGGGTGCTAGATCAAGTAAGCTCTGACTCTCATAGAGAGATGCGCAAACAGAGACCAACTCCAGCCCCGCAGCACACGCACCAGGTGCAGCGCAGCAGAGCATGGAGAAGGCATGATCCTACATGATCAGTGGACAGCAAAAACAGTTATTTACCCTCTTTTGTGTAGCTCCTTTAGTCAGTGTATAGCGATTACGGAGATCATTGATCTCAATGTCTTTGATGTAGTCACCATCCTGCTGGTACGTCTCGTTGTTTATGGCCGCGGCGGAGTTTGAGGCGGGCGACTTGGCGACTGGAGGAGTAGCGGCCTGGGCTGTTAGTCTTGTCATGCTCGAAAAGATATGGATGAACTTACAGAGCGAATCGGAGGCACGTCGACATGCTGGATGCCCTTCTTCGCCTGAATCTGCGCGTTGATCCTCGCAGCCGCAGCCGCCGCCTTTGCTGCCGCCTCGTTCTTGAAGTTGGACGATGCAGGGCTGTCTGTGCCTTCACGGGCGACAGGGCTACGGGCGCGATGCGACTCGGATTCCCTCCGCGACGGCGACCTGGAGCGACGATCTGAGTCGAAGCGCGAGCGGACAGGGCGCTCGGCATCGTCGCTATCAAAGCGCGATCGGGGGCGGCGTTCCTCAGACATGATGCGGGTGGCCGTAGCGATAGTTGTCGTGGTGTTGCGGGTGAGGCTCGGGTTGGTTGGTGTTTGTCGATGAATCTTAGGCTCTGGCAGGAGCGACTCGCTTAGTAGCGTGCCGCGGCTGAACCTGCCTGTTCGTGGCCTGGTGGCTCCTCCGACAATCGGCCGGGGATTCTATTTCACTTTCTGGGGCAGTTTGACGTGAAGCCCATCCACATCCGCAGTCACTCCCCGCCTACTCGCCTTCACCGCGCCCACTGCCCGCCATGGCTTCCCGGAGAGCAATGCTGCCGCTGCGCAGTCTGCTCAACAGGCAATGCGCCGCCTCCCTCCGCCAGCAGCAAAGAGCATCCAGCTCCTCGTCGACTCAGGCGCTGGCTTACAAGGCCCTTCACCGTCGCATCGCGCCTCTGCCCACCGAAGACCGTCCCCCGGCGTGGTCGGCGCCCGCTGCCGTCAGCAACATCCTCTACGAAACGCCGCTCCCATCCCAAGCTCCGCCCAAGAGCCACATCCTCAACTGTTTGGTACAGAACGAGCCCGGTGTGCTGTCCCGCGTGTCCGGTATCCTGGCTGCCCGCGGCTTCAACATCGACAGTCTGGTCGTCTGCAACACCGAGGTAGACGACCTCTCCCGCATGACAATTGTGCTGCAAGGGCAGGATGGTGTCATAGAACAAGCCCGCCGCCAGCTCGAGGACCTGGTCCCAGTATGGGCTGTGCTTGACTACACCCAGTCGCCCCTCGTCCAGCGCGAACTGCTCCTCGCCAAGGTCTCGATTCTCGGCCCGGAGTACTTTGAGGAGCTGCTTGCGCACCACCGAGAGATGGCCCAAACGCCGGAGATGGAGGAGCAATACGAACCAGACATGACCGACGAAGAGCGCAACGCAATGGCACAGGAGGCTGCTCGCGAGTCGTTGCGGAAAGACTACCACCCGACAAACCTACCCGTCAGCCAGGCGCTCCGACACAAGCACGAACATCTTCGCGCGATTACCTTCATGACTCATCAATTCGGTGGAAAGGTGCTCGACATCAGCACAAACAACTGCATAGTAGAGGTTTCCGCGAAGCCTACCAGGATTGACTCCTTCATGAAGCTCATTGCTCCATTCGGTATCCTGGAGTCCGCAAGAACTGGTAAGCACCCTGGGATGTCCAGGCATGGTCGAGTTGCTAACCACACACAGGCCTCATGGCTCTACCGCGCTCCCCGCTACACAACAGTGCCGACGTGGAGGAAATGGAGGCGCAGGATGTTGTCGACAACAGTCTGCTCCCTCCAGGTTAAACGTCTTGAAATGCGGGCGGTACCAAGTTTGTTCAGTGTCAACATATGCGGGCGTTTAATCTACGTGTATAGTATGGCGTTCAATCAAGGCAGAAGACGGCATTCCAAGTCGGAGCGCTTCGTTCATTCGAGACCAAACACACTGTTCTTTGATACAACGTGAGACGTACTACGCGTGATGTATACATGTCATGCACGGCCTACCCCAGGTCCTGCCCCACAACAGAATCTAGTCGTTCGAGTATGTTACAGCGTATGACAGGTGAACAGGTACCGCTGCGGGGCCCGCGGAAGCCTCGTACGAGCGAGCAACCGGTCGGATGAAGCTAGCGACGTCTAATACCTACCGTAATACACGTTGCCCAGCCGGCTCATAATGTAGACAACTTCGGACCGGAGCATTGAAAATTCGGACCGACCCCATCGACTACTAGTATACTGCCAAAAGTCCGTGTACCTCCATCTACATCAACACCCATAATATTCTTCCTAAGCCTACTTTCGATTCCTGATAATTCCTCAGTAACAGCATCATGTCGCAAATCCCCGTCCCCGCTGGTCTCATAGAAGACACGCTAGACCACACGATCGAAATTCTCGCCAAGCAATTCGAACCCGATGCTTTTCAACGCTATATCCTCCTGGATGAAATGCAGGGTTCTGGAAAGACGGATATCGGAGAGGAGATGAACAAGGAGGTTTTTGCGTTCATCGTGCCGGATTTTATCAAGGCTGGAGCGAGGTGTATGACGGTTCCTGGGAGTGGGGTGGCTAGTGTCTGGTAAGTACATGATATACCATCATGAGATATTTCTCTTTCGAGAAATGTAGCATATGAGGGGAAGGGTATTGGCAGGAGTTTCAGGTTGGAACACACTAACGATGTGTTATGCAGGACACTAGAAGAAGTAACAGAAAACTACACCGAAGAACCACACAACCCACCCGCCGTAACAGAACTAAACTCCCTCGCTCACCACATCCGGAAACGCTTCATCCCTCCCCAGACAACTCACATGCTACATCTAGTCCTTTTAGCAAACGACCGCACTCACCCTTCTACTTCAAACCCGGCTAAAGTCAGTGACCTCATTCGCCCCGTCCTTGATATGGCGAGGGAGAAGGGGTGGCCTGTGGTTTTGGAATCTACGTCACCGAGGAGTAGGGATGTGTATACGCATTTGGGGTTTCAGTTGTTGGAGGAGATTGTTGTGGGGAAGGGGAAGGTTGATGGGGAGGGGAGGGGACTAGAGGGGGGTGAAGGTGTGAAGCTTTGGGCGATGATGAAGTGCTGAGATTATCCCGGCGTG